GGTATCTCCCAAGTTATCTGTCTCCACCATCCCCAGAAGAGGGAACCAGAGGCCACGCGTGTCGGAAGCACCACAGCAGGCTCTGGAGCAGCAGAGGGCTGAGATTGGACTCAGGTAGGAAGGGAATCAAGTGTAGACAGAGCCCCTTCACCCACCCAGAAACTGGGAAATACAACCACCACCCCGTGGCACCTTCCACATCCATCCGCTCTCTTCATCCAGCAGAAAGACATTATTTCCTGGAAACTCGATGACCACAAACCAGTGACCACAATCTAAAGCCCAAAGCTGAAATAATATTTAGATAACCCTAGAGAAATGGACCCCAGGAGGGCAATGTTGAAAAGGAAGATTATATATACACACACATCTGGCTCCACACATGTATAATGCGTGTATTTTCCAGAGAGAAAAATCAGGGCCCCAGTCAGGAAGCCATGAAGGGTCAAGATCAGCAGAGAACTCAGCAAAGAGGCCAAGGGGACAAATCCTACCACATGAAGACCATCCCCAGAGCCCTTGGGGAGCAGCCCTGGGGTAAATCACCGAGTACTGATTGCACCAGTTCCAGAGCGCTTCAGCACTGAGAGCTCAGCCGAAAAAAACAGCCTGACTTCAAGGATTTGGATACCTTCTCCCAAAAATCAAACAACAAAAGGCAGAGAGATAAGAGTCCTGGTTTTAAAGTCTGGCATCTCCAGCCTCCATTCCATGGCAACTTTCAGTACCTCCTTCACCAGCAGATATTTGCCAAGGGCTCCCCTTACGCCAANAAGAGTCCTGGTTTTAAAGTCTGGCATCTCCAGCCTCCATTCCATGGCAACTTTCAGTACCTCCTTCACCAGCAGCTTTGCCAAGGGCTCCCCTTACGCCACNAATAGCCTGACTTCATGGATTTGGATACCTTCTCCCAAAAATCAAACAACAAAAGGCAGAGAGATAAGAGTCCTGGTTTTAAAGTCTGGCATCTCCAGCCTCCATTCCATGGCAACTTTCAGTACCTCCTTCACCAGCAGATATTTGCCAAGGGCTCCCCTTACGCCAAGAGCCATGCTGCTGGGCACACAGCCTCTTCTGGGCACAGGCCAATGAGCAATGTGTGTGCCTCTATGTGCGCAGGTGGGCACTTCTCAAACACAGCCATCCCTAAGATAGCTTGAAGAAGTCTCTCTTACTAGTCTACTGTGAAGAATAGATGGATCTGTATGGATTTAACAGAGAGATGAGATTAAGACTAAAACCTACAGAAGAATTTATGTTCTATGATTCCATTTTAGCAGCTATAACAAAAAAGGGAAACAAATTTATGTGTAACTAAAAACAATGTGGTACCCTCGACTGGATCCTAGAACAGAAAGAGAACATTAATGAAAAAACTGGTGAAATCCAAATAGATTTTAGAGTTTAGTAAACAGTAATGAATCAGTGTTGTTTTCTTAGCTTGACAAGTGTACAGTGGCAACGCATGATGCTGGTGACGGGAAAGTGGGTGAAGGGTTTGTATGGGAATTGTGCTATCTCTGCAGCCTTCCTATAAACCAAAAACTTTCCCAAAACAAAATGGTTATTTAAGAAAATAAACAATGGTTTAGACTTCTGTTCTATCTCTGAGGTCAACTTTGGAAAGGCCGGGGTTTTTCTGCTGTTTGGAACTTTGGTTTCTGAAATTTGCACCTATGTTTGATGGGCAGAACCAATTTTTACTGAGAGCACACAGGATCCATCAGGGCCTAGGGTGGGTAGGGTGGGTACCAGTCAGAGCCCAAACAACTGACTGGGTTAAAAAAACAAAACAGCACAGAATAAAATAGAACCACACCCTGGGACCGGCCTTGAGGCCTGTGTCTGGGGAGCCCTCTAACTCTGGGCCCCACTGCTGTGCTCCCAGACATGTGCAAGGAGAAACACATGCAGGGAGCAGAGCCGAGGGAAGGCATCCCCTCCCCACTCCCCAGTTAGCAGGGGCTGGGATTACTAAAGGAAACAGCCCTTCTCCCATCCTCGAGAATACTCTGGCCGGGGACCAAGAACCGATGTGAGATTTGAAGGGAAGATGCAGAACGATCTTCAGAAAAGGGTATGAACCAATATGATTCTATTAACCAATGTCTCACCAATAAATTTAATTTTAAAAAAGAGAATATCATAGAAATCTACAACTGAAAACTACATGATCCTATTAACCAATGTCACCCCAATAAATTTAATAAAGAAAAGGGTCTGGAGAGTTTGTTTGGGGAAGATGGTGTGACACCCAGGCAATGATTCCCTGTGGTAGGTAACACTACCGTTTTCTAAGATGGGAAGATGGGCTGGGGAGAAAGCCTGCCTATATGTACGGAAGGAGAAGAACAAGCTCTCTGCTTGAGATATGTTAGTTTCAGAGCCACCTCATGATCTCTAAGTCACCTCATGGGCAGCTGGAGACATTCCTGCTGTCTCACCCTGAACCCTCCCCATCCCCACAGGGCTCTCTGCTCAGATCTGCCCCCGTCCTCCACTAGGCCAGGTAGCATGCTGGCCTCAAACCACATGTGGCTTTGGGGCCCTCCTGCCTGTCACACCCCTGCATGCAAATGAGCTTGGCCCTCATTTACCACCCAGCTCTGACTCAGGACTTGGTGATTCAAACATCACCTGACTCGGTATCTGCTACGTCTCTGGGAATGGTTGAAGACCCCTGTTCCAGCTGCCATCACAGGGCTCTCCAGGGGCCAAACAGCCCCTGCAGCTGGTCTCCATGGTGCTGGCTTCTGCCCTGGGCACACCTGAGTCTCCTGCACACTTCAGATCTCTGCAGATCCAAGGGAACTCCTTCAAGGAGCTAAGTCATCTGCCAAAGATGCCTTAGGCCTAAGAAAGGAAGTCAGAAGGTACAGTTTGGAGCCCAGCAGGCCGGGTCTAAACTGTCCCTGCTACTAGCTCAGAGACCCTCGTAGAGCCCTCGGAACCCGGTGGTTCTCATCTGTCAAGCAGGGATGGTGATGATGAGATGCTGGGCAAGGCACTGTCCTTGTGGGGCCCCGGTGTCCTCAACTGTGAGCTACAGACAGGAGTGTGAGGAGAAGCTACTTTCCATCTCTAAGACCTTAGGAAGAGAGGGGGTGAATGCTGAGGTTGGGCTGGGGCCTAAATAAGCCATTCAATTCTCCATAGTCTCCAAGTCCATGGTTTTATTAAATGTCATTATGGATGAACCATTACATGTTCAGAGCTCCTTCCTGTATGGCAGAAAACTGTCAGGCAGGTGGGTGGGCGAGGAAGATGTGGTTCCTTGTGCCTATTAAGTGCCTGTGTGCGTCTAACTTAATACGCTCAAGGAAACGCCATCTCACAAAGCAGTTTCCCTCAACCTTCACACTGGCCAACTCCTTTCTGCCAGCTTCTTAAAGGCTGGCATATCCCACAAATATGAGGGCCACCGGGGCCAGGGCCAAGGCCAGGAGCCTGTAAGGTGCTGGGAGATTCCCTGCGGATCCCCTATTTACTCCCCAATTCCATGACGGGAACCTTTTATGTTCATGTCACTTCCTAGTGAAAATCCATAAATATACAGATAGCTTCATAAATAATATTAACCACTGTGTTATATGTAATAACCAACTACTGAAATTAACCTCTACCTGGTAAAACTATATCACATATTACACTCAATCAAACATTATACAGCCACTTAGAGAAAGAAGGGGTTTACTAAGTATGAGAATATAGGGAAAACATGGTGATTAGCATATCAAATAATAAGAGCCAAAATCTAAAAATGTTTATTCAGGATGGTTTAAACCAGCGATGCCCCATAGAGATATAATGCAAGCCACATCCTTAAATTTTAATTTTTGAGTGGCCCGATTTTAAAAAGTAAAAATTAATTTAAATAACATTTTATTTAACTTAATATATCCGAAACAGTGTCATCAACATATACTAAACATAAAAAGTTATTAAGTATTTTACTTTCTTTTTCCTGTACCCAGTCTTCAGAATGCAGCACGCCCGTGAATTCATATCTTTGAAATTACAGCACATCTCAATGTGGACTTGCTACCTGCCAAGTAACAATAGCCACACTGGCTAGTGACTACCTCAGACTGTACAGATCTAACCCATTGGAAAAATTTAAAAGACTTAAATAATAGAAGGGAAAAAAAAGACTAGAAAGAAATACCAAAATCTTAACGATCATAGACTTTCTCTGAGTGGTGGAAATACCAATGTGAGTTTTCCTCCCTCTTTCTGTTTTCTAAAGTATCTACGTACAATGAATTCATATTACTTTTAAAACAATAGCAAGAGTCAATCTTTAATTTCAGAAGGAAGGGATTTAAAAGACCTGACTGGGTGAACTGCACCTGCCACGCATTGCTTTATTTATGCCCCATGAGAGCTGTCCTGTACCCAACTCTTCGAAGCAGGTACCCACTCCATGGGTACTGGTTGATTAGTTGGTGGGTGGGTAGGTTGGCTGGATGATGGGAAGAGAGAGCAAAGGAGGGGAAACAGTCTATTAAGTTACAGAGAAAATTAAACTCAGGCCTTTGTTTCCAAATCCCAAAGCTATCACTTACGGTTTTTAACAAGTCATTTAACCATCTATGCTTTTCTTCAAGTATAAAATGGCAGTGGTGATAGTCACTCCTCCACAGGGTTTGTGAGAGCTAAGTGAGATTATCTCTACAAAGTGTTTAACACAGTGTCTGTCACATGGCCAATGTTTCCAGAAATGTTGGCCGCTGTCCTTATGGTAAAACAATAAATGACCGGCGTGGTTAGGCTGTCTGACTCATAAAGCAGGGGCACCCAGGACACACGCTGGAGCCACTTTACCCTGGGTGGCTCTCCCTCCTGCTGCTGCTGTCCTCCCACATCCCCCCTTCCTGAGAGTAGATGGCATAACCCCTCAGCTGTAGCCACAGCGGACCTGTCCTTGGGCTTGTGTGTGGTCCCTTTGCCTGACCCACCCCATGCCCTAGCCCCTGGTCCAAGCCCCGTGGCCCACATACCTGCACCACCTCCGGCCTCACATTGAAGGTGTACAGCCAGTCACTGAAGCGAGGGTAGCTGTTGAGCTCTGGGGTCCTCTCACCAGGAGCCACACTCAGCTTGCACTGCCGCTGCTTGCAAATATACCGGACCAGCTTTGCCTGCGGGGAGCCCAGAAAAGAGAAGGCGGTTCATTCAGGGCACATGCACAGGGCCACCCTGAGCACACTATAGGGGAGCTCTGGCAAGCAGGAGTCTGCTGGGTCTCCCTTTGCTGCCATTCCGACGTGCTGAAGCAGAAAAAAGGGGAGGGAAGAGAGGAGAAGGATGTGGGAGAGCCAGCAGAGAACCTGGAGAACCACCCATAGCCCCCTACCCCACCCAAGGACGGCTGACACTGCCTCAGGCTTCACCATGATCCTCAGCGAGGAATAGGCAAGGACTAGTCAGAACAGACAGGCTGAAACATCAGACAGACCTTCTGCTGGAGGGGGGGGAAGGCAGGTTGGGGGGGAGGGTTAGTAATTGATGATATGGAAGGTGTGGGGGTTTGAGAACAAAGAGTAACCTTCCACTTGGGATGTGTCCAGCCTAGAATCAGACTGCCTGGGTTGGAATCTGGGGGCTCAGGCACACCCCAGCCCTGTCACCTTGGACAAGTTATTTAACGCCCCACCCCCAGGAAAGCCTCAGTTCCCTCCTCCAGAAAATGGGGATAATACTAGAACCTCCCTCTCAGGGAGGCTGAGAAAAAATAAAACAGTGCTGGCCTGGCCCAAGTGTACTGGCCGAGCCTACTGGGCTACGGCAGTATTAGCAAGGCTTTCAGGGCCCACACCCTGAAGTGTATGCAAATCTCAGGCATGTGAGTCTGCATTTTCCAGGGGAAGAATGCCCACAGCTTTCAAAAGACTAAAACTTCAAATACTGTAAGTTTAAATATGGCCGGCCTGATGTTCTCTTTGACAAATACCGGGCTCCATCTGGGTGGCCCCGCGCAGTACTGAGGAACACAGAGGGGGCAAGACGTGCAGGGAGAGCACAGCCCGGGGTTGATTAACAATGGGGAATGGACTCCAGTAGAGGGAAATGAGTGCACAATCTGAGGACCAGGGTCCTGGCTCGGCTGAGATCGAGCGACCCTGGGACCCAGTGAGAGCTGCAGAGATGCTGACCACATTCTAATGGCCTCATGTTGGTGACTTTCAAGCACCACCTTCAAAGTCACTTCCCAGTCCTCCTACCCCTCAAAGGGTTGTGTTGTTAATACATTCCTTTATCTTCCATCTGTACCTATCTCAGTATATTTCTCTAAACAGCAGTCACAATACTGAAAAATAATTAATGATAATTATAATTTCGAATGTGAAATATCTAGGAAGGCTCCTGATTTCCAAGAGGAGTTCTTGATCATTTTTGCACCATGGACCCTTTGGCAGTCTGAGGAGGTCCGCATCTCTAAGAATAATGCTTTTAAGTGCATAAAACAAAACACTTAGGATAATAAAGGAAATGGATTGCATGTAAATACATTTATTAAAATACTACTTGAAATTGTGATGGAGTATAAAGCTTCCTTATTAAAGCAGTAACTCCCACCTAGCAGTGGGTCTCATGGTTATCTAACTTTGAGGCTGTGCTTTTTCAGACAGTTCCACATCTGTAACATGATATGGAAACAGCTGTGATTTCTGCTGATGACCAAGGCACACATACTTGCTAAGACAACTGTGCCTTGTTGCCTAATCCAAATTGAACAGCATACTGAATTTCAGGCAAGGTTAATGAAAATAAGGTAACAATTTTCCTCTCCAAATTCATGAACACCCAGAATTCTTTCCATAGACTCTAGGGAAAGAACCCTTGTGGCTGGAGGGATGTGAGGCATGAAATGAGACCTATAATGACAACAAAACCATTGCTTCTGCAGCAGCCTTTCTGAAACCTCCCCAGAAAGCTGTTTGGTCCCAAGCTCACAATCCGCTAGACTCGGGAACTGGCCTGCTCTCATCACCCTGAGCTCTGTTAAGTCCTGCCGTCTTCAGAGGGTTCAGTGGCAAGTGAGGGCAATTGCTAGAGAGGGAACACTGAGTCAGAACAAAACTAATTCCACTCAGTTGCGCAGTTTCTATGTTGAGTGAAACCTAGACAGAGATAAACCCACGACATGCCTGCACTCCGTGCCCCTTGGTACCCAGAATAGACATTACTCATTAGGCATTCTCTGCTGAGGCTGGTAACTCCCAGGTTGCCACACAAGAAGTACATTTGCTGCCCTGGCCGGGCGGCTCAGTAAGTTGGAGCATCGTGCCGTACACTGAAATGTTGTGGGTTCAATCTCTGGTCAGGGTACATGAGAGAAGCAACAGATCAATGTTTCACTCTCACATCAATGTTTTTCTTTCTCTCTCTCTCCCTCCCTTCCCTCCTTCTCTCTCTCTTTCTCTTTTCCCTTCTCCCTTCCTCTCTCAATTAAAAAATTAATTTTTAAAAAAGTATATTTGCTATCCTATTATGGAACCTAAGCCCCTAGGAACATCTTCAGAGCATGGAGCTCACAAACATAAAGACACAGATGCCTCTTGTATCCTAAAGGGCTAAGCAGAGGCACTCATGCCCATGACCCAAGCTCACCCCACTCTGGTTCATCCCTCCCAGTGTGACCAGAAGCCAATTCCAAAATCAGGGCCTCAATTTTCTTTTCTAGGCTCATCTCTACTCCATCTCTGGCTCACCCTGCCCTCCAGGCACACATTCACCTAGGAAATATTCCTGAAATATTTCCTATACTTTCCTATAGGTCCTCTGCTCAAACTGTCTGCTCTGGCCAGAAGTCCCCTCCTCCTCCAGTCACAAGTGTCCTTGGCCTGGGCAAGACTTCCCGGGCCTGATTAGAGTTCCTGTCACCCCTTCCAAGTGTGCTAAGTCTCCACAGCAGCCGCTATCACAGCCGGCCTCATAGTCCAGCTTCTGACATGGTTTCCCCCAACAGATACGAGCTCCCAGGGCAGCGACATAAAACAGGCTTTGGAGTTTAACAGAATCTGGGTTCAAATCTAGGTTCTGCACATTTACCAGTTGTGCGACCTTGGAGAAGTTCATTAATATTTCTGAGCCTTGGTTTTCTCACCTGTACAACAGGAATGATAATATCCAGCCCATTCATGGTCTATTGGAGGACTGAACTATAAAGGAAACCCCCCTATGACTGGGTTAGTCCCCCTGTTATTACACATCAGAGCAGAGACCGTGTCTACCTCTTTGTGACTGTCCCCACATGCCTATTACTGCACGCGGCACATAACATGTGCTCAAAAATCCTACGGAAGGAAGGAGGCGAGGAAACACATGGGCCTTAGCCCCACATTAAAACGTTTCTCACAGCCAGTCCTTCCCTCCACTCCAAACTGCTCACAAACCACAGCTTCAAAGTGCTGAGCAAAGACAAGGCAATGAATCAAATAACTGTGCCAAGTCAAAACCATTCTTTTCCTCATTAACTGAAGAGGTCGGGCTGCTGGCACAAGCAGCAGCAGCAGCAGCGAAGGCCATTGCCCCTGGCACGAGAGTTTCCAGGGCCATAACCCTGGGAGCTGATTAATAACACATCCATTCTGCATAAGACTCCGGCCATCACAGGTCCACATCAAGATCAGCCAGTCGGGCCTCAGCAATGAGCCAGCGTTTGGGGCTCTCTCTAGCTCAGCCCCCTCCAGTGTGTCCAGCCCTTTTTAACCACCAGGCCCTCTGCCCTCAGCCAGAAGTATCTTCCCAGTGAACCCTCAGTCTCCACAGCTCAGCTTAGCTATCCATCCCTCCAGGAAGCCTTCCCCAAGCCTTTCAGCCCCGCTCCGTAGCCCCCCGCCCACTCCTCCGTCAGATCACACATTGCAGTTCTGATATTTTACGAGTCTGCTTCCTTCTTCAGACTGTAAATTCCACGGGGCCAGGTCCCTGGTGTGTGTTCTTGCTCACCACTACATCCCCATGAACTGGCATAGCACCTGGCACATGGTTTGCCATTGTAAAACCTTTGTTGAATTAATAAATGAATACACAATACATTTTTGTAGCCCTGGCGGGCACATGCATTTACCAAAATGACAATGGAAAACAAATGCCAATTGCGCAAGTGATGACTCTCAGGAGCCTGAGAGTCTCAAAAACCAGGGCAAGTTCCCTGGAAGAAGAGTGAGCAGTTTCTTTGTTTAAAGGCTGTGAGAGATCCCTGCTGGACAGCCCGAAGCAGGCCTGTGGGTGGGACTGTGCAGAACTTGAAATGATTCCTCACTATACTCAGTCAACAACCCATAAGCCTGGCGGGCACAGTGCTGTGCCCTACTGGCCAGCTGGTCCAGTGTCTTGTTGGCTGCTACCTCCCAGAGCTTGTAAAGAAGAAATGACACCGCAATTTGGGTTCTTCTAAAGGAGCAAAGCTGTTCTCATTCACAAAGGATGGAGGTGCCAGGCATGCAACAGCTCACATCTGAGCAAAATAAGGCTGCTCTCACTTTTTGGAAAGTTGGTCATAGTCACAGAAGCACCCAGGGGCTACTTTCCCAGAGAAACCGCAGTGGGGCCTGCCAGCCTGGCCCAGTGGCCTGCAAGGGGACCTTTCACGGGTAGTCATTTTCTCATAACCACAAAACCACACGATATAAATTTTCCAGAATAGAAAAGCACCTGGGGTTTCAGCGATGGAACCAGCAGCAGGAGGGAGAGTCATTAGCACTCTGGCCAAAGGGGGGGACCCTGGGCTGGAGCTAACGTCTCACCCCACCCCAATACTCTTTTGCTTCATGAGTGTGTGACCCGCCCCTGCCTTGGTACCCAGCCTGGTTTACAGAAAAAGTAGAGGGGCGTCAAGCCAGCCCACAAACAAGTGGGGGGTTTTACCGACACAGTACACAGCAGACACTCACTACATATCCTAGGCTAAAAGATCTAGGCTCCGGTCCCAGCTCTGACATTTACATCAGGATCTCTGGGAAATCCCCCTCAGTTCAGCCTTAATCTTACCACCTATTAAAAGAGTATCATTTTATGGGAGTTGGGGCCAAAGTAACTAATATAAAAGTGCTTGGAACAAGAGAAAAATATGTACAGGTCCTACTACATTACTGTTGGTTACTCCAGCCATGTCCAAGAGGAAGCATAGCTC